TATCATTTCTGAGCACCGTGTGACCAATCAAGTACGTCAGCCGCCATATTTGAATCGAAGGCTGCTCACACTGACGTCCAAAGCGTTTGTTTTGTCGTCAGTAGGTATCTATTTATGTGGTTGTATTTAGATATCTGGTATAATATTATATTCATATATTGCTGGTATTAGATGACGGTGGCCAAACTGTGTGATTTTTTCGTCTAAATCAGCATTCGTTCAGTTCAGTCGAGTATTTAGGTCATGTTGTCGTCAAGATTGAATTCTTGTTGAATTTTTAGCCGTCCTCAACATTGTTCGGTAGTGTTCGTTAATTAAGAGTCAATTTCGAATTCTGTTTATATCCATTATGGAAACAGATTTTGGATAATGTATTTATTGGGTTGAAATGAAATTCAATCAGCGACATATTGTGAAAATCGCCGTTCAAAATCGAGTCTATTTCACTTCTGGTCTCATAATGATGTCAAGAAAGATTATGAGAAGATGACTATTTATCTTTTTTAATCTTTCGTTGACAACATTCGTTATGATTCACCATCAATCTCATACAATATGTATGCTAGTAGTGAATAACATGTGAACTGTTTGATTATCTTTGGAACAGCTAAACGAGCGAAATAGATCGGTCAAGATGGTCGAAATTCTTAATCAATCACGTCATTCAAGTATTGAAATATGTTACAGATAGATCCTGAATGAACATATAAAGTGATATCATACAATCTTTTCAATACTACCATATTTACATCTGATCATGGACCAAAGTAATATCTGCTTGTTTATTCGTATGATAATTCGCAAGGACTTGAGAGAATAGTCGAGTGATGGAAGTGACGTTAAACCGCCGAATTGATGTGTAAAATTCAGTACATTTGAATTGATAAATTGGTATGAATTGCATCAATAAGCGTGGCTGTTTATCTGTAATAGTTCAATTCGATTGAATCCCAATTATTAGAGTGAATGATTACTCCTGAATATAATTAATCAACTTAATGAAGTGAAATGGTACATTCATTTGCTTATATATGACTGCTGCTTAGTTCGCTCATCTTGAATCGGTAAAGAAACGAATCAAAACATCAGCGACACATGGTCAAAACAGCTTAAATCATTAGAATTGACTAACCTTTCAACATTGTGCTGATACGACTTAGGTGGTTGAAAAATTGTTTTTGATTGTTGAAATTACGATTCTGAAAGAGAAAATGAATGTGATAAAGAATGAAAATATTATTGGCTGCAGATATTCCAAAAAAAAGAAATTGATTGTTGCTACATGAATGAGGCGTTATGTTGCTTGATATCACATACAGAATAACAATATCACGGATGTTGAGTTAAGATAAACTGTTGAAGATTCATTGAGATGTTCATCAGATATTGACATGAATCATAAACATGACGTCTTTCTTAGTGGTCAACTGATTTGGAACGCTTTTATATAGCAGATTTTTATACTTATCGTAGAGAATGATGGATGCTTTCTTTCTATTCAGACATGTGTAGGTAAACCAAATGAATACCAAAAAGGATGATATCTTGTAAAATTATTTTGAAACGTTTGGATCTGCATATGATGGTTCAAGCAGTACATACCGGTTGTTGACAACGAACAACCTCAGAATTCGTCGTGTCTGAATCAGATGAAGCTATGAGATAAACGTTTGAAAACAGAACATTCAAATATGCAATCAACGAAACTGCAAATCGACTCAGGATCATCACAGGTTTCCCACATTTGATCGATAAAGACGTTATTCCCTGAAACATGTTTTTCAGATGATTGAAACGAACTGTCCTTATAAACACGCTATATTAATACTTTATCTGAATAACACTCGTTACCACCAAATGATAATGGTATCTTGAGATTGCCCAGTGACCAAGTGAGGCATTGAATGCTTATAGTATATTCTATTTTAACAACACTATTGCCAGATCAAAAATTCTGATGGTGTCCGGGAATTGAACTTCATGTTATAAGGTTGGTCGACGAAATAAATAAGTATAGCGATCACCGTTTGGCTATCACTCATTCTGCTTTGAAAAATTTGTATGAGGAGATGAATCCATTGTTGTTGTGTCATATGATCGCAATTTACTTCCATATGGGATTGATTTAACGACATCACTTCTTTTGGGATGTCTCTTCCGTCATTAGCCATTAGAAACGATGACTCACACAAATCGAATAAAAGCTGGAAACGACATTGATTTTAGGACGAATAAACACGTCCCTCATAATACCTATAATACACTAGTTGAATCGAAATCCATTTCATAAACCCATTCTTTTCAACTCACTTGAAAATCACTCCCCGCAGTTATCGTCGCAATGATTAAACACATCGGTTGGTTGGTTCATCAGAAAATTATACTACATCAAAAGTTTCACGATCTTGTGTCAGATCATAATTATCTGTTAAGTATTTAGGATTCATCCAATAACTTTAGTGTCATCCAATGCAATGCAGATAAAAATGAAAGGATTCAGAAAAATAAATGTTCTTACTGTTTTCGTTGCATTTGCAAGTGGAATCACTAAAACATCGACGAAAAGTGAATGTTGAATATTCGCAGATTCAACGCCATTAGCGATAGACGGTGATCCAAAAACGACAACTTCTTCATGGAAATTCGATTGTTCCATTAATTTTAACCATTTGCACGCATCGCATTCAAAACACATACCCACTGGCTTCTCAGATACAGTATTACTGCTCAATTGGTCATTCAAGCATTCATTCAAAAGCTGAAAATCAAATATTCCTCAACATACTCGGAGGACTTCATACAATTCACTAATGCATTGTGAAATGTGGGTCACATATTCAAATCCAATGAAATATCGAACGATTAACAAACAATGAAGAATGATAATTTTGAATGTTAACAGATGACTGAAGATAATTTCTGGAATATGACACTGTAAAAATGCAAGCAAATAATTTTTTATACATTGTCATATCAGTGCGAATTCTCAGTACATACAAACTTCACATGAATAATCTAAAAAACTGCATTATGCTGTGATGGACTGCATTCAAGGTATCACACAACTCAATTGATAAGGATTTTACGAATACCATTTGTTCAATGGATAAAATTGCATTTTCATAGGTGATGCATTTGAATCTCTCAATGATATCATTCTCTTTACCGAATCGCCATGGGTTTTCACTGAAAGTTTATCGAAAACAATTATGAAGAGTTTATTGTTGAGATGATCGATTCAGGGAAGAATAACGATGTTTTTCAGTTGATCAATTGAATAAATCAAACTATTCATCGATTATTCCAGGTAATGGCCTGGATTGGCCTGCTCGCCTAGTCAGCGGGGTGGCGTCAATCAAGGCTAAAACAGTGCGTACGGAAGCGCGAGCATTGTGGCCAGCAACGTTATAAACGTTTGATGGCTTGGCCAATCCAGGTAATTCAGGTAATTCATCGATTATTCAGTTGATTTCAACGGACTCAAAAGAATGTCACATCTTAACTTTCGCTGTGTCGTACATGTGAGCGACTCCGTATTTTGCAAAGTATTTGAATAATATCTTGAAAATCATTTAATTCTCGAATAAACAAATACAATTAATGATGAACAATTATCTTCTAACTATTGATTCAGTATAAAATTTCTCGTGAAAAATAGAATGAGATCTTTTTATGACAACGACTACATCCTGAATCAATAAAATGGCTCTAAAATAGCATCGAAACACTCTCAGAATAGAAATTTAATAACTCACTCGTATAAAGGCGTGTAGTACGATGCTGTGCAAGGTTTCAACCAGAATTTTTCAGTAATACTTTCAAAATTTGCGGTCTCCATTTGAATTTTGAAATTTTCTTGAGCACGTTTCTTATCATTTTTCATGATTTCCTTGAATGAGACAAAAACATCAGGCACAAGGACATAGAATGCAAAAGCCGAAACATTTTTGAGTACAATACAAATCACTGCTAAATTCAGACTCGATAATTTCAATGATATCAGCATAGCATTCGGTTCCAAGCCAAACTCTCCTCAGCAAGCTGGGCTTGGAGTGGCACATAGCATAACAATTGCTTAAAACTGAACGTTATTTGGACGTTGTTAAACCGTGAAAGTATGAACGGAAATCCTAGTTTTTATTCCAAACGGCATATTCGATTCATTTTATACAAAATCGAAATTTACATTTGCTTTCGGGTGGCAAATACATGGCAACTCTTCGCATTACTAAATTCCTCAAAGGAACTTCTCTTGTCGATATCAAAAATATGAACATGTAATTAAGAATAATACCAAAACTTTGATTACCGCAATTTTTCGTCGATCGTGTTTGAAAGATGCCACGTTGAAATTAATCGCTTGAATTTGATAATCAACGAACAGTTGAGAACACTCCAAAATATTCTTAAATACATCAACAATCTATACGCGTACATTCACAAAAATACACTTTCTAACATTTACTGAAAGAAACAAATCTGGATCAGTTATTGAGCCGTTGCACTGACTGACTGATACTTTTGTCAGCCATCGAGTGATACTGAATGATACTATGACCTTATTTCACACCATGCTCCATTGGTTTTTGAAAAATGATAACTTCGGACAGAAATGCAACACCAAAATTTGCATTATCTCGATGAAATATAAAAAATCACCGTCCACATGACGATATCAGTGCTCATGACGTCTCGTTTATAACCACGACAGATCAAATAGACCTGAATTTCGTACGAATTGAAATAAACGAAAAAATTTCAACAGATTCAGTGCCATTCCAAAATTTCATCGAATATACCGTCAAGATGAACTTCGTACATTTTTTTCACATACCAACGACTTGAATTTATATATAAAAAGTTAAAAAAGAAAACAGAAGTAGGCTGCTTGGTAAGTCTGAAATATATTCAAGTACTCCATTCATCAATAATTTCATTAATTTCCTTCAAATTGCTTTCAATGTCCTTTTTCACTAGCAAAATCCAAACATTATACGGATCTACTGAAGAATTTGATTGTAAACTGTTTGAGAAACACTTCTGGATTTACTCAAACTATTGCACTGGTTTCTCAATAAAGCATCGTATGACAATCAAGAATGTAGAATTAGTCGATAAATTAATTTGATTTTCTTTTGTTCGCTTGCCTATTAGGAATCAGAGGTGCTAATGAATTTGTAAATATGAAGGAAATAGAAGTGAATACTTCAGAGTTGCTCGGTTTACTTGAAGATGGTTTGAATAAATCCACTTCGTCGAAGGATCGTAGCAAACGGGCGATTAAACTGGATGTTTCCTCTCGTAGCATTGTGTATATTTTAATGACTAATGAACCACCGGTTTCGAGTAAAAAAAGTGATATTTCTACTTGTTTCTTTAGTAGTGGATAAGTAAGGCATTCTTGATTTGATGGATCATTCTGAAGAAGCAATTGAATGTGATGAAATATAGATATTGCGCATTTACATGTTCCCATAACTTCTGTGCGAAGCAGTCAAGTATAATTTTGATAGTTTCAATCGCATTAAACGACTGAATCTTCACTTGTGAATGAGAAATCCCAACAAAAATATTCCATGTTCATGAAAAACTAAAGAACTGAACGTTTGAAAGAAGATGGTATTGATCAGAATCGAATAAAGTAAAATTAAAACCTGGCAATACAAACTGCCATCTGCAGTGATAAGATTAAAGTAGTGTTCATTGTTCTCAAGCAAAGTGTTGAGGTACTCTCGATCCCATTGCATAATATCACCGCTATTGTCCTCACCAAATAACCAATTCGAATGCGTACTCGTTAACAACTCATCGTCAACGAACATATCGCTCGTTCGAGTCCACTCATAATGCGGATTTAAACTGAATAACGCTATTTCAGTCATAATAACTGTGTCTATGCGTATCGGATCAGCAATAGAGTACTTTCAGTAGATGTGGCAGTCACTCAACAAAAAATGCTGGCAGAAAAAGAAGGCATTTAACCCTTCATTTTATATTGAGAGTGCATTTCTACGCATTCGTATTTGGTTATGACCTGTTCAACTGCACTATACTGCATTATACGACATTCTATCAAAGGTTCAGAAAGTTTCAAACTTATCAATGAATTGCAATAATGAAAATAGAATGGAATGTTGAATAAGTTTAATGCAAAAAATCATGTTGAAAATATCCTAATTTATTGATGCCACCAATAATTTAATCCAAACAACATTTTGAGATCAGTTTTTGAAACGAATTCTCAACTGAAGTTGGATTATCGATATGAATGAAATCATGGTGAAATTCAGAATAATTGACGAAATCTTGGTCAAACATCTATCAATATGTCAAGGTGCTTTACAATCAGTTATGAATTGGATAAACATGACTGAAAAGAAATGTCAACATCGGCGAGATTTTTCTAAAAATAAGCATTGAAACGAACGTGTTTGCTCTCCATGACCATTTCAAATCGGGTTTTTTCAATCTGAGATAAACATTCAACGCGGATATGAATGCACCTGGTGCTTCACATAAATGCAGTGATCTAAAATTAATTCTTTCGCTTCGATCCTCATACGATTAGTGATATTGTGACAGATTTTTAGAGACAAATTCAGTGGAATATCATTGGATTATGAGCATTGTTGAAAGTATTCAGATTTGCACATTACCAATGATGTTTAACAAATAGAAATGATAACTGTAATGTCTGAAGCAATTAAAAAGTGCGGACGAACCTCAATTCATTGTTCTCATGAGGATCTGATTTTAATTCACAGAGATCAGGATATCTTTTTAATATTTCGTAAAATTTGCAGAATGCCTGCGAGCAGCACTGTAATCCATAGTTATGGATGAGCTGTTGAACAAGCGGCCGCATCGGATGCGTTCTTTTGGTGTGTAAACGCCATTCTTTGAGATGGCTCGTTGGTATTTGAGACTTCAATTAATAAATGCTTCAAGTGATAAGATAGTGATACAGTTCGATGAAAGTTATTAGTGGAATTGTACTTCACTCGTCGAATATGAGAGAAAAACGATCTTCGGAAAGACGATCTTTTGACAACCATTGAAGGCCTTCCGAGATTCGATGACATATAGTGACTTTTTGAAATCATTTTCTGTTTTCGATATGCCTGATTGATTATTTCGAGCGATTGCACATAAATCCGTTAAGGATTTTCAAATAGAGTTTCATTTTTTTGGATAACTAACATGAGAATATGGTGCAATGATGCGAGAAAAGAATGCTCATCTATAGAACATTGATCTATAGATGAAACAAAATGGTCCTATTAAATCACTGTGTGATGCTCGTTTAAGCCAGAAACTGCGCGAAGCACTACTGAGTTGGTCAACAAAAATGACAGTAATTCACTCGACGAATGAATGATTTACGATTAGTTTGGAAGCGATAAACGATTATTATGATACGCCAAATGAAAAAGAATGTCAAAATGAAACCTTAACATGATTTAAGCGTTCTTCTAATTTAAGCAATTCTAGCTTAACATCATCATATTTCTTAATGGTTGTTGCTTTGTGATGTTTCAGCGAGAATCTCTTATAGAAAAGTTGATCAATCATCAGTGAATACTGCTCTCTCAGATGTTCACGTTCCCTGTCCTCACTGCTCTCATCGTTTGTCTCGTCTTCGTTGAATTTTTTCTGATCACTAAACGATGAGCTGCTCTTGTGTCCTCTTTTCATAGTAACACAATAAAAAACAAAACCAATCCTGTAAAAAAGTAATCCGCCTTTTCACTTGATTCCACCTTATGATGACGACTGTCCAACAATGGGCACTTTTTTTACTTTGGGGGGGGG